TCGTGCTTAGAGCCACACATAGCTTTGTCAGAACATTAGAGCGTTTTATGAACCTATCGGTTTACACCTTGAAAAAGGGTGGTGGCTGGCGCCACCTATTTAGTGTATATGGAAACCGAAGCTCAAGTTGTGGTCTCCGAAAACACTCGGTTTATCGTGACTTTTTTTTTTTTTTTGCTTTATACGGCTGTGTTTGATTATTTTGAAAGAAGTAAAGGCTGACATCGTAATGGCCAAATAACAAGTAAATAAATAAATAACTCTGGTACAAATAAAATATCGCAAATGTGATAAGGGCAAGAGTCTAGATGGATCAAGCGCTTGTCCTGTCTATTTTCTTGTCTTTGTCGTCTCATTTGGTCTACTTGAGTTGTCCCTAAATATACACCGACTAGACCAGGAACGTACTTTACCAAATCAATAACTGCAACACCGGGAGTCTCCGCATTTGTTTTATGTGGAGGTTTTATCGGTAGCGTCGGGGCTTCTGTGTTCACGTTTCGGCGCGGCGCGACATTAGAAAACCTGGAACGAGCGACAAACGTCGAGCGACACTCTTGTTTGACTAGAAGCGGAGCCACGACGTCACGTGATCGATTTCGGTGCAAAGTGTAAAAAAAATTTAAAAAAAATATATAACTGCCATTGAAATTCGGTAGTTTCGAATCTAAATCGGAACGACGAGGTGCTCGCTGGTGAGAAGGCCCCATCTGTGATGCATTGCGGTCACGCGCAGAGTAATGATAGTTTCGCATTTATCCGAGAGAATTACGATAGTTTCGTAATCATTCGAGAGAGTAACGGTAGTTTCGGTAAACTGGTGCTAGCAATGGTTACGAGAGTAATCTGACGTTGAGGTACGGATTATGACCTACGTATTTTTGTGTTCCTTCATGATGTAATCTCTCCCTGAGATTGGTCGTATTCAAAATAAATGCATCAATAATAAATACCACTGTCAAGCTCTGCTTTAAAAAAAAAGAAGAAAAAGAATCTTTTGGCCATAAGTAGAAGCAATACCAAAAACTGGTCTGGCAGAACCTTCTGTTAAGTAGTTGCTGTCTTTTTTTAGTTCGTTGCTAAATTCTAACATTCTAAAGCAAAAAAAAAAAAAAGATGCTTTTGTGAAGTAAGTAAAGAATAATTTCTTTGCAAACTTTTAACAAAAATATCCATACGTTGGCCACCTAGGATTAAGATTCATCAAAATTGTTGGGGTCAACGCCGACATGCTACGGCAGCCCAAACCCCCCTCCCCGCAAAATAAATTAAAAAAAATAGACGATTTTACGCCTCGGAATGTTCTTGAGCCCCAACGAACGCACGAAAATTCCACGAACACACGCCGACTGCAAACTAAAAATCCGCTGACTCCCCTGGAATGTCTGAAAGTGGAGAGAAAGCCTTCATTCTCACGCTACGGCACGTGAACAGTCGTGCGAAGTAATTAGCGGTAATTAATGAAACCACGCTCTCCTGCAGCACACTGCCTGCTTTTCCCTCGAAGCGCGCGCGCGCGACGCCACCTAGTGACGCGTGTCGGAACCCCGGTAGTGGGGATCCGCCAGCACCGGACGGGCGCGCTCGTCGATACGAAAGACACCCCGGGCTAAGGTTACGGGCCCTTTCGTCGCCGCGAGATACCCTAAGCCCCCTATGAAGGGTTCTTCTGATTGGCCACCGCTGATTGCGGATTTTAGGAAGTTCCTTTTTTTCTTATTCGTTTCGCTATCTTCCCCCTTTATTTAGGGAGACGGGAGCTACGGTAGCGTGTCTCTTTTTTACGAGTAATTAAGTCTCTGGTGTTCGGGCTCTCCCTAATTGTAATTTCCCTCCCTCCTCCTTTTTTTAGTTTCGTTTTGTTTTGTTTTGCTTCTAGGCCGGCGGTGGTGGTCGTAAAAGCTGGGAACGTCTGCTTCCAGGAACTTTCGGTTTAGAGAAGTCTTTACTATGAATGTAGAACATCGCGAATGGGAAATGGCAGCCATATTTTGGGGGTCCGTTTCGTGTTCAATTTGGCCTGTCTGCGTCTTTTTTTTTTCGTGTGTTTGCGAGGGTTTTACGAGTACCGCGGGACCGCTGCAGCTTCAGCCTATTCTGACCCGTAAGTTGAAAAGTCGGGCGTGCTCGGAAACATGCGTTGCACCTAAAAACCTAAATATATATATATACCGCATATTTGTTTGATCTCTCTAACTCGATGCATTTCGGGTGCCTAAACACTTTAATTCATTATCGGCAAAGTCGTCATTCTGATAATCGTCCGTTAATCCTACGTTTCCTAAATGCAACCCCCATAACTTTACGAACTTCATGTCTTTCCACGAATTTTCTGCATTTCCTCAACATTCCGATCTAAAGGTATTTACTTGAACTAATGAACGAGAGTCGAAGAAAGATGACTAGACGGTTTGTAAGATAGACTGCTAAGGAGACACTGCTTGTTACCTATCCGAAATGGTAAGCACTCGTTTTTATTTTTATTTTTTGTTACAAATTGCATTAACATTTACAAATATTCAGTAAGAATTTCTTGCGAAAAATGGATGTCATAATACGGCAATAGGCTGGTCGAAATATTACGTACGGAGGGCCTATGCTGCTATCATTTCGGGACTGGGCGAAGCAGTCTGCACGATATTAGTTTTTATCATTATTATTACCTACACCAGCGAGCACCTCGGCGTTCGCAATACTTTCGCGAATACTCGAATAAATAGATAAATAAATACGCGACTAAGTCAAACAATCACAGGAAACGAGACCCGACGCTAAGTCACGGGTAAGCAACAACCTTGTAAAACTCAGCATAAAATAATAAATAGTGTAAAAAAAAAAGTGAGGAATGACTAGCGTTCCTAAGTTCCACCTCGAGGACCAGGAGGTAGACTTTAGGTGAACACAATTAACGAGATCGCCTAAAAACAAAAAAACGTTTCCCGCGGCGTTCTTTTCTTTTCTTCTTTTTGTCACAAAATAAATACGCTGTATACCAACAGAGACACATACGGGTGTAAACAAACCGTCGTTCTGCGGGAGGGGAATAATAAATTAAGTAGAACAGGCATTTATCACGCACGCACACACACACCAAAAGTGGGCAAGATGACGAGATCGTTGAAAAAGAGACACCGAAAAAACGTCCTTCCCGACGCGACACTATAACTTAAAAAAAAAAAAAAAATACGTACACAATAGACACACACACACGCATATACACACTCCATGTGCGCCAACTCTCTCAAAACACAACCAAAAAGAAAAACAAATATAATCTCTCAAACACTCGGTCACGGATAGACCTCCATAAATAGCTGCAGTTTCTATCTCACTGGGAATGTATGCCAATGTACAAGGGATAGAGGGAAAGAGGGGAGAGGGGCAGAAGGAGAATGCACGTCACTCGCTTCGCTCGCCCAGGTGCCAATCTACACCTGTTTCTGAAAATGACAAGGCCGTAATATCGGATTTTCAACGTCCCCAACTGTAGGCCGGCGCGTGGAGCAAAGACTGGACACGACGAGCACGTCAGCGTTCGACCTTTGAATTCGTGTTCAGCGAAGGCTGGGTCACAGATTTGAGTTTGGGTGTGAAGTAGCGTCACCTGTCGGGTAGCCCCCGGAACCACTTCGATCCCGCGTGCGCACTGCGGTGGCGCTGCTCTCGACACTACGCATGCGCGGACGCCTCGTCTCACGCGAATGTGGCTTCTGCGCCATTTATGGGGAAACGGTCGTCTATTCGGAAATATGCCTAAATCGGAAGTGTTTCAGCGCTTCCCGACAGATGGCGCCACTGCGTTCTCTCGTTGTAAGCTGCCGATCACACAAACTCAAATCTGTAAGCCATTCAGAAGTGAGGGCACAAGTGCCAGTCGAACGATGACATGTTACTCATATCCAGTTAGTGCCCGCTCACCGCTGGCCTCCACTAGATGACGTAGAAGAGCCAGCACCGCGGCCTTGTTGTGTAAGAGGCGCTGAGCGAAGCGAGAAGAATGCACGAGCTCGAGGGACGACCTGGGGATGCATGAGTGCTGCCTCGAGTGTGCGCCGCCGTCCCACGAGACGGTCGGGCAGGACGCGAAGCGGAAACCGCGAAGGCGAGGCGAACAGGGTCCGTCCGAGCCCGACACTTTGGTTCTAAGCCTACACGATCCATCCGGAGGAATGAACTGGGTTCCTGGGTTCCCCCGAGGGTTTTGACTCGACGTCTCGCGGACCGTTTTTCTTCTTCTTAGAGTATCATAACCATAGTCTGCGACGAATGCTGTGGTCAACTAAAGTATTTTCGGGCTTTCTAAGATTCGAGACTCGTAATTAATTTCGAAAGCCCGTTGTGGGTACAAATGCTCCTGAGGTTCCTCGTGATTTCTAAGGTTACTGGGACATCGTCCGAAGAAGGCGACGAGTTTTCGGCGAAGGTAGGTCAACCATAATATCTCAGATCGTCACTTGGGACAGACAGGAGTAGTTCCCCGAACGTCCCCCCGCAAATCACGAGAATTCTCTCAGGTTTCCCAAAATTCAAGGCGTCGTCCCCAAACCTTCAGAGCTTACCCCTAGAATTTCTCACTGTTCGCCGAGTATTTCCTCAACAAAGAAACAAACAAAGCTCCTGGACCGCTTTCAGAAGGCTTCCCACGGGTTCCAGAAGTTCGCGACCGTCCCGAACCGGTTCCCGATGGTCCTCATAGGTTCCCAGGGGGGGTACCCAGGAACTCCCAGGCGTTCCCAGGGGGTGCTCTCCGTAGTCTCCACCACGGGCGTCTGGTTTCCCCCCAAAGTCTCCGAGTTCCCCAGGGACGGGTGGTGTCCCCAGAGGTTCCTCAGCGGAGGTTCCCAAGCGTCCCCGTGTCGCGGAGTCGTCGTCGTCGTGGTCGACGTCCACGTCCTGTTGAGTGTCGTCGTCTGTATTGCTGGCTGCTGCTGCTGCGGCTGCTGTGTCGGCGGTCGCTCCTGGCGGCACGTCTTGGGCGGCGGCTGCGGCGGCGCTCGTGGCTACGTGGCAGCCTTGCCCCTGTCCGCCTCGTCCTGCCACTTGTCCTGGGAGCGGCGGCGCGCGTTCATGAAGAAGTTTCCGACGGTGCTGAGCTCCAGGCCCAGCTGCTGCGAGATGGTGATCTGCATCTCCTTGGAGGGCCGCTTGGTCTCCTTAAAGATGGCCTGCAGGGTGCGCCGCTGCAGGTCGGTGAACACGAGGCGCGGTTTCTTGGGCTGGTTCTTGGCCGCAGACCCGGACACCGGCGCGGAAGCCCCACCAGGGGATTCCTCTTTCCGCTTGCAGGCTGCGCAACAAGAACGTGGACAGGGGGATCAGTATACGACCCGCAGACGCTCTCTTTTCCTACTGCCCATCGGGACCAAGGCTGCAATCCCTCTGGTAAGACATCGTGCAAAACAAAGTCTACAGACACTGCACGGGGCGCGTTTCGTTTTTATACGATGGTCTTGTCACATTGGTCATACACGCGGACTGTCTGCATGCATAGTCGGAGCATTACCAATGCACGAAGCAGACGTGGTTCGAACAGGCTTACGTCGTGTCCGCAGACACCTCTGTCGTCATGTCTGTGGCGAATGCCGTGTATCTTGTGCGATGTATGGGCAGTGTGAACGCGGCTCAACACCTTCCACTCACATCCTTGCGCTGGGCGAAGTAGTTCTTACACTAGATTCGGTTGTAGGAGCGAGAAGTGACGCCTTTAGCATCTTAAACGTTGTAGGTCTTATTAATACTACAAATACGTAATCTAAAATGCACCTACATACATATTAATTATTCGCAGAAACGGGCAAATTAGTAACGTTCCGCCGGAGGGGCCGGACTACTTTTATTTTTTTCTATATTTCTCCGGGTGAAAACGAGTATACGTGGTGTTGCTCGAGTTCAGCGACTGCCAATATTGAAGAGGCATTTTACACTAAACAAAAATACGACTTACAACGCGATTAAACATCACGTTTAAAAAACTCGGGTAAAACTCATTCGCCATCACATCGAAGTAATATATTATTCCTCGTTGAAAACTTCATTTTCCCGTTTTCTTGCCTCACTGACCGACGAGCACTTTACGCGCACATCGCAGTGATTGGTTCTCGGAATAAATTGAGGAAAAGCAGAGCCGCATCATGTGTCCTCATACGTCTTAGAGTCACCGACAACCTAAAAAATGCGGGGCAAGGCGAGCCCTACGCATCTTATTATCGCCCTTCGGCCAATCAGATTGAGGCACGAGTCTACAAGAATGATGGAAGAGCCAATCACGAAGGAAAGAACCCCAGCATAATGACCTCTATACCGTGTGTTTCGTAACCTGACAGTGAATACAGTGTTATTTTAAGTTACAAATATAGCATTTGTTTTGTTGTTCTTTAGTTTTGTCGCGACAGGCGTGTTTTAGGAAATAGTCCTTCTTTTTGTTATGCGTCGGAGTGACAGACGCTGGACACATGTGATTTGAAATGGTGGGGTGGTGTACACCAACGACATTCGTTACGGTCCGGCACTCACGCGCAAAAAAAACACACACACACACACACTCACACGCGCGCACATGATGCGTGGGAGCGCGCGTGCAGGGTGCCAGGATTGCGTGCGACGGTCGTTGTGCATGTATACATATGCTCACCTTATAGGCAGCTGGGTCGACGGCTGCGATTCATTTTTAGGAGCCGAGCATAACGGACGTCTCTCTCCTTTTGTGCGTGAAAAGGCTGACGGCCAACATCGAAACAAATGCCGCGTATACGTCCCTTATCTTCCAAACTCGGATATTAGAATATTAAAAAAGAAGGAAAAAAAAAGAAAACAAAAAGCCATGCAGTGCTTTTTTTTTTGGTTCGTTGGCGGGGGGATCTGTGGCCGAGTGGTCTAGCGCACACCAGCTCGGAGCACGTGGAGCGAAAGCTCGCGCTGCAGAACCCAGGGATCCTGGGTTCGAGCCCCACCCCTGCCCGTTTCGATCTGGATGAGCATCGTACCGGCGTGCGGTCGTGTATCACTACTGCGTGATGCACGTTAAAGACCCCAGGCTAGCGGCTGTACCGCACTGGCTAAATTGCTCATCTACAGCTGGGAGACTCGTCGCCCCTGTGAGGCAGACCAAGTTCTAGGCTGTATAAACACACACACAACCCAATTTTTTGGTTCGTTGGCATCAGATTTGTACGTAAATCTCTACAAGTGACATGTTAGTTCTGTCTAGTTACGTTTTTTCTAGTAACAAGGTAACGATTTAGTTATTTTCAGTTACTTGCGGAGAAAAACGTGCACAACACGAGTTACTCTGTTAGGTTTTGACGCTACCTGGCGCCTGGGACTTCTGCAGCAAAAAAACGTCGACGAGGAAATTAAAAAAAAAAAAAAAAAATGTCCATGAATGCGTTACGTAGCTAGGCGTTATAAGGGACGCAAACTATTGGAAGGATGCTACTGGTTCAGGAAAACGACACATCTAAAATAACGAGAACGCAATTTGTTACCCTTAAGTTCATGTAACGCGTTCCCTTTAAATCTCGGTAACGGTTACGTACTTTGTTACGTTTTGAGTGAGTAAAAAGTAACGGCATTAAGTTACCCTTTTTTTAGCTACGGGTACTATATGTCTGGTTGGCATTGCGCAGAACACAACGGGCGTCCCTTCTGACTCGTAATCCTCACCCGACCGTTCGTCTCTGCTGCTAATGATATTTGATGTTCGGGGAACACCGCTTCTTGCAGTCACGTTTCATAAGTCCTCGGCACGATGAATGACAACACTCAAAAGTCTACACCAAAACATGGCGGCACGTCATCATTTGAAATAAAGTCCCTCGGTATGGCGCTTTCGAAACAAAGAAACCTAAATAATACTAACGGTTAAGTGTCTCGGTGTTTTTCAACGGGCTCCGACAAACATTGCAGCGCTTCGCTGTGTAAACACGTGGATACGGTAGACGCCTTTTGTTTCTTTCATTTTGAACGTACCGCGTGTGGCGCAATTCCTGAAATTAGCCTCACCGACCCCCTGTTCAAGTATGGCGGCGCACACGGAGTCAATAGCGGAGCAGCGCGAACGGTCTATGGATATTATTGATTGATAGATGGATGTGATAAAAAAAAAAAGAAGTCAACCTTTTTTTTGTTATGCTGGCCTAATACTTCGTATTGGGGAAATAAAAAGGTGAAATAAATATAAAAACGTTCAAGGCGGAGAAACACAAGAAAAAAACTACAATTTTTAAACGGGTGTATCCTAGCAAGTTTTTCGTATGACGTGTACCAGTGCCTTATAATTGTTATAACGTTCGGGCATTGATGTAACGATTTTTATGGGCCAAGTAAATTTACCGTAGTTATTTCTTTGTTCTCAGAAATGGCTAAATCTATTTCAGGTAATTGAACCAACGCGTTTAAGGAATCCAGAGAGTAAATGTTAACAGCGCAGTTTCAACGTCTGGCGCCATATTCGTGGCGTAGTCGTAACCAAATGACCACAGCGTTAGCGCGATCGGAAACCATTTTTGCACCATTTTTTTTCTTTAAACGGCGAGACGGTTCACACTGCGTCTCAGCCATAGCTTCTCGCCTTGTAATAAAATTCGCAACCTCATGCGGCTCTTGATGTCGAAATTGCTTTCATTTTACGTTTAATTCATTTGTCCAGCATTGGAGTCCGAATCACGACACGGTTTTGTCAGTCACGCTATGCCATCGTGACGGATATAGCGGTGGCGATGATGCAGTCAAAATATTCGATTTTTTACGCGTAGAGTTTCCGAACGGATTGCGTTTCAATGGGAAGTTTCGGTAAACCGTTGATATAAGGTTAATACCGTTTAGGGCAGTATTAGCCTTACAATAAGACCCACGAAATGTTCTCAGTAGGGGATATTCCCTGGGTGGCATGTTTGAGAACATTGTTGAATGCGCATGTTTACTATTCGTCTGCCAAGGCCAATAATCTTTTTTTAGCGTACGATTTAGTATGCAAAAGGTTTTCGGAGGTAGAGCTTTGATCACACGCACAGCAGCGAGGAACTCAGCAATGGCCGTCGGTCTATAGACGCTTTCAGGCAACTGTGCATGGCCTCCGCCATGACCGACCTTCAGTTTTTGTTTCCTCTTATTCCGTACGCTTCACTTCATCATTGCCACATCAGGACAGGTCATTGTCACTTCAGGTGCTACTGTGTCCTCCAAAGCATAAGCCTTTGTGGAGGTTCGTCAATGCTTGCTTCAGTGGCTCGGCACCTCGATAAGACAAGGGAAGGTCGGCAAAGGCGGCTTAATCTGGCGCGTGTTTAAAGCGTCTACAGTAGTTGGCTAATCTGACTGACTTACTCTCTCTTCTTCTTCACCCCTCAATGCCTACACTATAGTATGATATAGTCGTCGCTACACAGCAACGAAGCTAAACAAAGGATCCTTTCGTAGATCGTTTTCCTCCCTCGGGTATACGCTTTAGCCTTGTCTGCAGGGATCCAGATCTTGTAGAGGTTTTTCGGAGTGCGCCGCGGGACGGAGGAAATGGTGTACGAAATAACGAGTTTTGGAATAGCGTGTGCCCAACAGCTTCGCGTACGAACCAGAACTAGCCTCGTCGTCGTGCGCCAGTCCAATACATAGTTTGAGCTCGGCGCAGTGGCGACGACGCTATTTCTTAGCGTATACGCAAAGCTTCTAAGTAGGCGCTATTCTCAAGCTCCCTAATGACGTCACTTCCGTCAACGCCCCAGACGCTGTCTCTTACTTTTTTTTTCTCTCTCTATCTCGTTTTTTTCGTAGGAGTGGTGGTCGGTGTTCGTCAAGAGGCGCCCTGCTTCAACTAAAAAACCGACGGTGCCTGCCGCCCAGGTGTGTTCCGTCCCACGCGCTGGGTTGGATTGACAGCTCCGGCGGGGCGGCGGGAGGAAGAACAGCAAGCCGCCAACTGCGCTACGCACCCGCAAACGCGCCGGCATGCGCGCGCCCACGACAGCCACACGCACGGTATTCGCTGCTTTGGTTGTACAAAAAGTTCCTTTTCATTTTATCGCTAAGTTTTTTGGGTTTTTTTCGGGGGGGGGGGGGGGGGGGAAGAAGAAGGAATAAAATTATTTGTTTTGTTTGTGTTGTTATATCTATCCTTCTCTTTAGATGTTTTCTTTTTTTTTTTTTTGAACACCGGCGTAGGGTTGCTTCCGTTTGTGTGGTGGTGAAGGGAGTTCTGTACGTCGGGGGCCTCGCGCTTGCAAGCCAGAGTCCAAACGCTATTTTTTTTTTTTTCTCGCGACTCGCGCCTGCATGTCGGACAGGGAGGACCGC